GCTTACGCAGACAAAGAGACTGTGGTGTGGTTGGGGGGGAGGGAGGGTGTAAATCCCTGGTGCATGCTGGCCTCGCCCCTGGGGAGCACTGAGACAGTGACTGAGACGGCCATTGAGACCGGGCATGGTGGTGCTTGCCTATAAATCCCAGCGCTTGGGAGGCTGAAAACTGGAAGATTATTAGGAGTCCAATCTGTGTAGTGACACCCTGTAGACCCTGCACTAAATACATAATTTTTTTTTAAAAAAGTCACTAGTGCAGAGAAAAATAGCTATCAAAAATAATCCACAAAAATAATATAATTTTCTTTAAAAAAAAGTCCTAACTCAGACAATAAACGCTGAAACAATAATCATCCCAGCCTCTCTTCAATTTTCTGCCTAAGGAATAGTTGGATAGTCAGGTTCAAAATTCCAAGAAATCATTTCCCAGAAGCCAGGGCAGACACCCAAGAAGGAAAAGTACACGACTATCCATCACTAACCTATTTATCTATCATCCATCCAGCCATCCACCCACCCATCCATCCTTTCAGCTAGTCATCTAGCCATCTAAAAAACACTGCAAAGGAAGAAAACAGTTAAAAACAGCTACAGCCTTCAAAGGCATTAACTTTCAGCTATATTTTGTTTTCAAGTAAAAGAGCATGTTTGTTCTAAAATAGTAAGCTTTATTTGAATTTAATAATGTATTAGAAATTTATTTTTATTCTTTTTCTTGGTGGAACTGGGGATTGAACTCAGGCCCTTGCGCTTGCCAGGGAAGCACTTATTCCACTGAGCCATCTCCCTGGCCCCTGTATTAAAAATTTAAAAGGATTCCATTATCTATCACATGTTAGGAATTACAAGCTTTCTATAAAACATAGTGGGATCTGTTTTCAGCAAAGCTGTGTATACTATAAAAACTAAGTAATTTCTCCCCATATTTTCATAGTATAACTTTTCTGAATGTATTTTCTCAATGTTAGTAGACGTTAGTAGCTATCAGATAAGATGATACAGGTCTGGTATAGTGGAAGAGATGGGTAATCCCCGAACTCTGGGAAGCTGAGACAGGAGAAATCTAAAGTTCAAGCCCAGTCCAAATAACTTAGTGACTGAATGAGGCCCTGCCTCAAAACAGAGGTAGCTCAGTGTAAAAGTTGTGGATCCTTTAAAAAAAGTTTTGGATCCAAAACCCCAGTATTAAAGAAGAAAAGAATAAAATGGCCATGGCACATGTGGCAGTATGTATCACTGGAAACTCTTAAAATAGTTTTGCCATCACTGGCCTACACAGTATTACTGGTCAGAATAAAGGCTGACAGGCAAATATTCTTACTTTTAAGCTGCTTTACAAAAATGTAATGCATATAATCCAAGGTGAATTGAAATAACTGTGAAATGAACATATTACCAGTATCTCCAAGAATTTCCTAGATTATTCACTGCGGAGTACAAAAGAAACACAAGTAGTACAGTCTTCCCCTTGGAAAGCTGAAATCATAAATAATGACAGAACAAAAGAAGATGGTATGTATCTAAGGGTTACAAGACTCCTTAGAAAAAATAATCAGCTAGAATATAAGAGGCTGAACTGAAAAGAATATGGGCCCTTATTCCTATCATAGGGTGGTACAGCTGTGTGTAGGACAGAAAAAGGGAACTCCAGATGGTAATAAGAAAAATAGATGCATGAAGAAAGCACATTTGTGGTTTTAGACAACAAAGACTGCAAAGGTGAAAGCAGATAAAGAAATAAGAATAATTATTAAAGAGGAAGCCAATAGGAATAGCTTAAAAATCTAGGGTCAAAGGATTCACTGGTCCAAACAAGGTGGCACTCACTTACACAGTAATTCCAACACAAAAAGCTGAGACACGATTATGGGTTCTAGGTCAACCTGCACATAGCAAGACTTCGTATCAAAAAACCAAAGTTTCAATGGGATGAAAACTGCTAATTGTGAACAGCATTCACAGATGTACCATTCCAAAGCATTCCCAGCACCAGAAAGTAGAAGCTATCACTCTGAAGTTATTCTGAAGGAAAAATATGCCAAGCTACTGCCGGAGGGACGGGAAAGTCAGAACAGTTGGTTAGTGGGTGTTACCCAGAAAAAGTTAAGTACTCCTGGCTCTCAAAGAAAACTACTCACTGAAAAACACCTACTCTAAAAATGTATGCCATTCTACACACAAAATTTAGAGTCCTGTAATAAACTTAATTTCATTCAAATATTTGCAGGTTCTTTATTAGAAACAGCATATCTGAAGTACAAAATAACTAGATTTATGGCCAGTGAATAATGACTTGTAAAGGGAAACTGCACAGCTATTTCAAAACCTCATCACTCTTTCAGATCAGGTGCTAAAGATAAATGCTAACTGTGTCTAAAAAAACAATATGGTAATGGTACCAATTTCAAGGTTTACTTGACTTCTGAGTCTCAGTGTTCTCATCCACAAAATAGGCAAATCTATTTAATAGGGTTTTTGTAAAATAAATCTACTTTTAAAGATTCTTTTTTTTTTTTTAATTTATTTATTTTGTGTGTGGCCTGCTCAGCCCACCAGGGGGCGGGGCTGGCTGGCATGTGGTGCTGGGGGACTGAACTGCGGTCCCTGTACATTGATTGGCTTAAGTTTGTTCTAAGTAGGTGCTTTAGACCACTGAGCCATCTCACCAGCCCATAAATCTACTTTTGATCCAAAATATTTAACAGTCTCTAGACCCTGTAAGCACTCAAACAAGGAGCAGCCAAGGTACCCTGTACATACAAGTTAACAAACAAATGGTCAATGAATGGACTCTTATTATACACCTCATTTTTAGAGAACTTCTATAAGAAAAGTATAATCACTCTACATATGCCTCTTTTTTTTTTTTCCTAAAACAGTATTTATTATAGTTTACTGTAAATGTCTTTGTTGGCTGCAGCTCAGACTTATAGTGATCCTCCTGTCTTAGCTTCCGCAGCACTGGGATTACAGGTATGCACTATCATGCCCAGTTCAGGGGCCGGCACTGTGTATGGTACCAGGGATCAAACCCAGGTACTTATGCTTGCAAGGCAGGCGCTTAGCCAAGCTGTCTCCCCAGCCCTCCAACTACACTTTTCATCCTCAGACACTCAATGTGTAGCACAATGCCTACCACACTGAATACCAAGCATTTGCTCAACTGATGTATTTTTTAAAAGAAGTCAGCAAGTTGCTATTTTTCATGTGAAAAGATGGGTAATTTTAAAATACTGACTGCATGTGTGGTCTCAGGGCCTTTGTGAAAAGCTGTTTCAGCTCTAACCAAAAGATAACCGGACACTTTTTTTTGTCTTTTTGAGACAAGGTCTTCATTATGCAGCTCAGGCTGGCCTTGAGCTCCCTTTGTCATCCAGGCTGGTCTCAAACTCCCAACAATCTTTCTGCCTCAGCCTCCCGCGTGCTGGGATTAAAGGCATGTGCCCCTATGCCCTGCTACATCTTTCTGACTAGAATTTTTCATGATATTTATAGATTCAGTGTTTTGGTAAGTCCTTAAAATATTTTCATCCATCTGCTTCATTCAAATTCTCCATCTCCTCTATAATCAGTTACCTATACAACAGAAAGCTAAACTGGCTACCAGGCTTAATAAATGCCAAAATATTTCATACGGTCTGCTTAACTGAACAGAGCAATCCTAAATACTGTATATGAAATAAGTGACACCATCCCCCTTTTTAGAGGTGACATGCTCAGGGCCACACAGCTATCTATGGCACAGGTAGAATCTTTCCTCAGTGCATCACAGTCCTCCTAAAGATCAGCTACAATTCACAGTTCTTCCTCAAGCAAAAGCTAGAATTCTCAGTTTTCTTGAAGAATCATGCAAGAGGGTTGGGGAGATGTCTCAGTGGAATATGCACTTCCCTGGCAAGCGCAGGGGCCTGAGTTCAATCCCCAGTACCGCAAAAAAAGAATCATGCAAGATTATTACAGTGAAGTTACAGTATTGCCAAAAACTCATTAAACTGTCAAAGAAGCTTTAAGGTAAGGCTATGTATCTACCAGCAAACAATAATAATGGATGGGGCTCATAGCTATTTTGCCTTAAATGTGTTTGTCCTGGTGAAGGCCATTCAGAAATAACTCTTAAGTCTCTCAGAGAAAACAATGAAATAAACAATCAGGACAGGAAAGTTACATAATAAAGATCTGGCCAGAATTTTTATTTTTTATTTTTTTTTAAAAAGGCCAACTGGGCCAGGGAGATGACTACGTGGAATAAGCGCTTCCTGGGCAAACGCAATGGCCTGAGTTCAATCCCCGGTTCCACCAAAAAAAAAAAAAAAGTTAAACTTCCATGGGACCAGGGAGATGGCTCAGTGGAATACACCCTTCCCTGGCAAGGGCCTGAGTTCAATCCCCAGTTCTGCCAAAAAAACTAAAAAAAGGCCAACTAACCTAATCTCTTGAATAACATTGTTATAAAGCTATTACTTATTTTCACCTCATTATAAGTATTAAAAACACTTAACTGCCTCTTAAAATGTTCAGAAGACATTTCAGAAGGGAAAGTAGTATGATTGGCTTTCAGTATACATTATGAAATAGAAAGTACTTTTGTCTTTTTTTTCCTCCTTAGACATTCGGCTTCAAAAAAATACCCTTGAGTTCCAGCGTCAACTTTTTCCATCATGACATGACTGAGGCCATATTCACAGAGATCAAGTTACCTCTCATTTTAAAGTTCCTTTATCTAACTGTAATTTCCTGTTCCAAGTAGTGTGAATTGTTATCTCTCCCCAGAAAAATGTAAAAATCAAGGAACTCAGAAGTGCCTTTACAATGAAATTTTGATTCCTCCTCCAACAGCCTCATGTGCTTGATACCACTGAAAGAACAGACAGCATGACAGAAAGTAATAATCTGGAATTTCCTCTCAACTTATAGATGTATTTCCTCCCCAACAAAATACAGAAAAAAGTACAAAAATGGTATGATAAACAATCAATGATAATGACCAAACTGTGTTAGATGGACAATCTAGGATGATTGTGTATCACAAAATAACTACTGAATATTATCCTTAGTATGAAGCAAATACTAGAAAAGCAGTTTTCACAGTTTGCTTCCTGGTAACAACCAACACCCAGAGGCCAGAATGGACCCAATCTCTCCCCATAAACATTTTACCTATCTAAAAAATTAGCTAGAATTCTACTTTAAGCCTGCTTACTTCAATAGGACACACGCAAAGAAAATCAGGAATCAATGGTGCTCTCATGGACCGTTCTATCACAAGCAGAAATCTTTACATCTTTAGAGCCTGGCCACCTGGATTTGATTCCCGATTCTAGCACTTACCTTACTCTGTGTCTGTGTCCTTAGAAAAATTCTCTGGATTCAGTTTCCTTGCACATAGAATGATCTTAATAGTACTTACCTCTCACTGGCTGTTCTGATGCTACTTCACCAACTGGTGAACAAATCACAAATACATTCCACAGATTTTTCTATGCTACATACCACATATGCTATGCCTAATCTAAATATGTGTACACACATGCATATGGTAAAAAAAAAAATTGTTAAAAATTATAGAAACATTGACCAATGGATATTAAATTAGTTAGGAATCTGATGTTCAGGCCTGGGAGATAGCTCAGTGGCCTAACACCTGCCTGGCAAGTACAAGGACCTGGGTTCAATCCTTACTACTACATGCCAGCCACTGAAGCCAGGCGTGATGGCACACACCTATAATCTGAATGCTGGGGAGATTGAGACAGGAGGATCACTATGAGTGTGAGCTGTATAGTGAGATCCTGTACCAAATAAATCTTTAAAAAAAATTAGCTGTTTTAGTTGTGCCATTTTGCACTGGAGGGTAACTACAGATAACAATTACGCATTGTATAATGCAGAAACCTTGAAGAACTTAGAACTTTCACCATGACAAAATAATAACTGGCAGGTAAGCAGAGCTTAATTTGACTAAAGCAGTATCTACATGGCCAGTTATGCACACCTGCAATACCAGCAACTGGGAGGTCACAACATAAGGATCCCAAGTTTAAAGCCAGTCTTGTATACATAGTGAGATCCAGTCTCATAAAAAAAAAAAAAAAAAAAAGAAAGAAAGAAAGAAAGAAAAGCAAAACAAGACCAGGTTTGGTGGTACAAACCTATAATCCCAACACTCTGGGAGGCTGGAGCAGGAGAATCACAAATTCTAATTCAGTCTGGGCAACTTAAGCAAGACCTTGTCTCAAAGAATGAAAATCAAAAAGGTTTAAGGACGTATCTTAGGGCAAATGCCGTGGATTCAAGGGTGATACAGAAGTGTTTTAATGTGACTTAATAATATGCATAATTTTGTTTTTATGTATGTTAAAAAATTAAATTTAGAGACTGGGTAGGTAGCTTAGGGATAGACTATTTGGGTTTAATCCCCAGCACCACAAGAATAAATTCATTGCTTTAAATTTTTTAAAAATCTTGGTGGGCGTGGTGGCACACACCTGCAATCCCAGAGTCAGGAGGCTGAGGCAGGAGAATCACTGCAAGGTTCAAGACCAGCCTAGGCTACAAATTGAGCTCAAGGCCAGCCTGAACTGCATAGTGAGACTCTGTCTCAAAAAGACCAAAAATAAACATCCTAGATGCTTATTTTAATTCAACTTGTCACAACATCTAACAGTGCATTATCATTTGCACCGCAAAGATAAGAAAATGTCTCAGAAAGACTAAATTTGTTATATGGAAAAAAAAAGTTATAAGATACATTAATTTTTCAATGCAACATTTGTACAAAAAGTAAGGTTGGGCCTTACCAAACAATATCAAAGCTTATTTATTTTATTGTCTTTTTTGAAACAGGGTCTGGCTATGCAGTTTAGGCTGGCCTCGAATTCACTTTGTAGCCCAGGCTGGGCTGGAACTTGCAACAATCCTCCTGCCTCAGCCTCACCAGTGCTGGGATTACAGCCTCCGTGCCACCACACCCAGGAAAGCTTATGTTTAATGTCTCACATTTATAAACAGGCCTCATGACAACTGTGGAGACAGAGTAACTAAAGTCTAGAGACTGATTAGCATGCTGATGAACATTTAACTAGCAAATAACTGCAGTAAAGAACTGAATCAAATTAGCCAACTCCAACTTTGGTGCTCAGTTCCTGAACCCATAGCCAGGCGGGGACAACGCACTTTTCACAGCAGCCATGCTCTCTGGAGATCCCGCCTAGGGAACTAGTAGCAGGGGAACTTGTTCAGCCCGATTTTATACAGGCTGCCTGCCTCATCTATAGAGCTCCAATTCTAAAATGGCTTCAACATAGCACAAGCACCGGTGGATGGGAAAGGTACAGAAGATTACAGGATAGGAGCCACACTCCAGGGGCCAACAGTCCATAAATACTTAATACAGATCAAAGAGAATGTTCAGTGTGAAACTAGGTGTGTGGTTTAGGCCAAATCACCTCATTCCTCATAAAGACTTCCATCTCTACGACGGGTGAATTGTTTTTTTCCTTAGGCAGACGCAAGGAAAATACTTCAGCAATTTCTGTTGGATTCCATTTTGAAGGCCCTGCTTAAAATTTTATCTTGGGTTCAGTAAAGCCAATAAGATTTTCCACATACCACACTATGTGCTAAAGGTATGGATCCAAGAAAAATGGGGGCTAAAACAACGGGGTAGGAAATGGGACGCACAGAAAGCAATCAAAAAAGAAATTCACTAAAACCCAAATAATATTGATTATGTACAGTATAAATTTCCAACGGGAAAATGTAAAAAGCTGAGTAACCATGTGTTCATATGAACAATAAGGACAGTGTACTGAGCAGAAAATTTTTATATCCTTGTAAGTTTCACCTTTTTTGGCTCTTATAAAAAAAAAAATAGGAAAATTTATTGGAGAAAAGGAATGGGGAACAGCAGTAGCTCCTGAGCAGCAGGAGGGGTCCCGAATGGGTGGCTTCTTCTGCCTCTTGGGGCCTGCTGATTTTCTATATTCATAACATCATCTGCCAAATTCCATCTCCCACACAAGGCAAGTGAAATCAGAGCCTGATGCTATCTTGCCTTACCACTGAAAAACTGCACTGAAAGCAAGGACTAGAGACACGCATTTTTACAGAAAGGCTGGCAAACCGTCTCACCAATGCTGCCACCTTTGAAAATCCCATTACGTGCAAGTTCTCCATTTGCAATAGACAAAGGTGTACCTTCCCCACCACCGGAGAGGCTACCAGGCGAATTTCAGACCGTAAAACACGTCTATGGGGAAATTTTGGGTGAGAACACAAAAGGTTCCGTCATTATATGACGGTAAATATCACGAAAAATATTGGCAGTTCCCAGCCTGACTCAGGAACCGATTCCAACAAATCCATCTCTCGATGGAAACCTCAACTCTGTCCTTTCCAGGGAATCTAGAGTCCCAGCAGGTTCCCAAACCAGTAAACGGTGATAAAATGGCTTTACAAAAAGTGGGGGTGGGAGGCCCTCCCCACCGCTGTCTACCAAGGTTAAACTCCTTACTCATCCACGGAGTGCAACAGGGGCATCCGCGCGCGTCTGAACCCGCCCGGCTTTAGTTTTATTTCAATTTTTAGAAACCAGAAGGTAAAGAGCAGAGGTGACAGGCCGGTCCTCGCGGCCCGGGCGAAGGGAGGGGTCTCGCGGGGGCGGGCACCGGGGAGCGAAGGGAGCCTCCGCACGGGGTCCAGCGCAGCTCGGGGCCGCACCCGCCCGCGGGGACGAGCCGCGGGCGGCCAGGAGGGCCCGGGCTTCCTGGAGGCGAAGGGCCCAGCCCCGGAAACAGGGAGGGGCCGCCGCGAAGCCGGGCTGCGCGCTGCCAGCGGCCGCGCGGCACCGCGGAGCGGACGCACAGCTACACCCGGACCCACCCACGGGACAGCTGTCGTGGCCGCCGCCCTCTAGGGGCTTCGAGCTCGGGCCCCTGGGGGCCGCGGGCGGGCCCCGCGTCGCACTCACCGTGCGAGGGCTGCAGGGGGGCAGAGGTGCTTCCGACAAAGCTGGGCGCGGCGACCGCTTCCTTACCAAGCCCACTCCTCAGGAGGCAGCGGTGGCGGCAGCGGCGGCAGCTACTCGGGCTGCGGAATCAGTGGCGGCGGCGGCGGCGCAGCTCCACTTCCGCTCCGGCCACCACTTCCGCTCCGGCCCGAGTCCCGCCCCGCCCCTCGCCGTTTCCTCATTGGACAAGCGAAGCACGGGGTTGCCCGAGCCGCGCGGGAGGGGCACTGACGGAAGGGAGGAAGAGGAGCCGAGGACTGGGCTGCAGCGTGCGGGGGAGGGCTGCAGCGTGGGAGCTAGGAGGAGGCGGGCGAAGGGGAAGGAAATAGGGCGGGGGAGCGAGAGGAGGCGGTGGAAAGGAAAGGGCGGAGCTGGAGTGGTAGTCAAAAAAAAAAAAAAAAAGGGCTGGGTCCGGGGCAAGAAGGGCTGGGTGATTTTAGGGCGAGGATTGTCCCTGGTTAGGTTGGCGACTCGCAGGCTCAGAGATTCTAAGGGTTTTTGGACCCTAACCCAACCTGAAAGTAATCTGTATGAGGCTAGAGGGTGAAGTCAGTCCCATTGGCAGTCCAGAAATGGCTCTTCCTTATTGATTTTCAGCCAATCCTTTTCAATCTTAACAGGGCACTTAATAATTCTCTTAAGTGGTAGCGAACCTGTGGCACTCATGCCACAGCGGCCTGTTCGTTACCATTAAAAGCTTAGCTAGGCGTGGTAGCACAAGCCTGTAATCCCAGCACTCTGGATGCTGAGGTGGGAGGATCAGACCAGCCCAGACTGCAAGGGCTGCAAAGTGAGCTCAAGGCCAGACTGCACTGCATAACGAGACCCTGTCTCAAAAAAAAAAAAAAAAAAAAAACCCTAAGAGATTCACCTTTACTAAATGACTGAAGAGGCCACATATAAATCCTAGGGATCCACCACAGCAAAGGTCTTTTAAAAAACAAACTATATGTCTTCATTGACAGTTACCCCCTCTTCAAGGCTGTGGAGGAAGCTTCAGGGAAGGAAGGCCTCCGTGACCTCCCGAGTCCCGGGATTACTTGCACCGTTACCAATGCTTTATTCTCAGGAGAGTTGACTCTTAAACCTAGCCTTCAAAAACCCTCAGTGTTTCACACACTTTCTACAAATATTGAGTAAGCTTTCTGTTTAGTGCTGGAGATGCAGAGCAAGATAGGGAGGAGCCCTGCTAGTTTCCAGTGTACAGTGTGGTAGGAGAAAGTACAAAGCAGGCCTTCGTCATCTCCCCTTTACCTTTACTTCATGATAGACTTTTTTTTTTTTTAATCATAAGGCTTCTGATTCATCACTCTGCTCTCAAAACTGCCCCCACTGGCCGGGGAGATAGCTCAGTGGTGTAAGCACCTGCCCGGCAGACTCAAGGACAGAGGTTTGATCTCTGGTGCCCCATGTTGTGCTGATGCTGCACCAACCCCACGCCATGCCTACCACTGAACCAGGCGTGGTGGTCATGCCTTTAATCCCAGCACTGGGAAGACTGAGACGGGAAGGTCGCTATGAGTCCAAGCTGCATAGTGAGACCCTGTCCCAAATAAATAAATCTT